TTTCTTTGGCAATGTTCTTATCTACCTAGGTAGCATGACAGGGAAATCCACTGAGACCAACAATCAGGCAACACTTCCTCCTATTCTGTCCTTGTCAAGATGAACATGGTTGAGGACAGAGGTCTTCAATTCAAATTCTGGGCCTACCTATGATAAAGGACATCTACTGTTTGCCAGCTACAAGATAGAGAAGACAATTTACTTGGAAAGACACCCTAAGATGCAAGATGACTTATTTGGCACTTATGACTTTGGTGAGAACTGAAATGCAGTCCAAGGTCCTATAAAAAATGGCAAATACCATAACATAGACTGAACCTGTATTTAAGCCTCTCTATTCAGCCTCCCATTTGGACTTCTCTCTTTTGGATGCAAGATAATCTACTGATCTCCCTTCAATTTTCATGACCTGCCCCCTCACACTTCTTCTCTAGCTTCAACATACGAGAGAAAACACATGCCCCTTGACCTTCTGATTTTGGCTTATTTCCTTTAACATAATGTTCTCAAGTTCTATCCATTTTCCTGCAAACGATATAATTTCATTTTTCTTTATGGCTGAGTTAAACTCCATTATGTATATATTACATTTTCTTTATCCATTCATCCATTGATGAACACCTATGCTGATTCCATAGCTGATTTCCATAGACCTCTAAGGTCAGGAACCACAAATGTATCAGGAATCATAAGAAGCTACCAGAGAATTGCTGTGCTGAAGAGTCTTGGAAGGGGCAGAAGACCAGGGTTATTTTTGTATAGCTAGTTGGAATTTTGTTTCTATAGTAAGGATATTTTTTGCATGCAATTGTGTTTTCATTTTGGGAAGCCTGGGGATCTATGGAGATTATGGCAGGTGCCATAAGCCCCTTCTGGAAAAATGTCAATATGACTCACATACACAGTCATGCTCAGAATCCCTGGAAAGAGATGGGGACTCAGTGAATTTCTTTTAAATGTCAAGAATGTTCTAAGATCCTCATATATATATAATAGAACTCACACTTCACCATCCACTGGGTTGTAGACTTTCAATTAGAGAAAAGACAACCTCTTTAACAAACAGTGCTGAGAAAACTGGATATCCATTTGTAGAAAAATGAGACTAGATCCATCTCTCTCATCCTGCACAAAAATCAACTCTAAAGCCAGGCATGGTGGTACATACCTGTAATCCCAGTGGCTCAGGAGGCTTGCAGGTTCAAAGCCACCCTCAGCAACTTAGAAGTCTGTAAGCAACCTAGTGAGGCCCTGTCTCAAAATAAAAAATAAAGGGCTGGGGATGTGGCTCAGTGGTTAAGTGCCCTTGGGTTAAATCCTGGTACCAAAAATAAATAAATAAATAAACTGAAGTGGATCAAAGACATAGGAATAAGACAAGAAGCTATGCAAGACCTAGAAGGAAACATAGGGTTGACACTCCAGCATATAGGCACAAACAATAACCTTCTCAATAGGACCCCTATTGAGAAATACTGGAGAGGATGTGGGGGAAAAGGAACACTTTTAGTGGGATTGTAAATTAGTATAACTACCATGAAAATCAGTATGGAGTTTCCTTAAATGACTAGGTATAGAAACACCAAATGACCCAGTTATACCACTCCTTGGTATTTATACTGAAAAATCCAAGTGATCATGCTACAGTGATCCATTGCATAACTATGTTTATGGCAGCACAATTCAAAGAAGCCAAACTATGGAATCAGCTTAGGTGTCCATCAATGGATGAATGGATAAAGAAAATGTGGTAAATATACACAATGGAATTTAACTCAGCCATAAAAAAATGAAATCATGTCATTTACAGGAAAATGGACAGAACTTGAGAACATTATGTTAAGGGAAATAAGCCAAAGTCAGAAGGTCAAGGGTCATGTGTTTTCTCTCATACGTTGAAGCTAGAGAGGAAAAAGAAAAGAAAGGTGTGTGTGCTGGGGGCAGGTCATGAAAATTGAAGGGACATCAGTAGAGTGGAGGAAAAGACCAGTGGGTAGAAGGAGGGAGGGGGAAGTGCTTGGAAGTAATATTGACCAAATTATATTGTTATATTATATGCATGGAGGAATATGTAACAACAAATCCCACCATTATGTGCAACTATAATGCACCAATAAGAAAGAAAAAAGAAAATGCTATAGAATCAAAGCATACTAATAAAAGAATTACAAATTTTAAAATGAAAAAAAGGGACTTTCAGAGTGCAACAAACCTAACCATGCCCCTTACTAGTATTGCCCAGTGTACACGTTCAATGAGTATTAACCACATTATTATTATTGGTGGAGAAAATATGAGTCAAGAAAAAGGCACAGTGGATTTAGTTAACTGATATTTGTATTTTAGAAGTTGCAACAGAACCTTCAAATACTTCAAAGACAGTGGTGTAATTATTTGTAGCAGGTGTTATTTATTCAGACCACAGGTGGTGTTTCATGAGCAGGTTGATGTGGCCTGTTGCAATAATTGCTTTGCAAGGTTATTGGTCTGTAGTGCTGGTTCCTCATGATGGAATATTATAGATGTGGGTTAAAATTCTGGCTCTACCATATACTAACTGTGCCATCTTTGAAAAGATGCTTAACTTACTGAGTCTCAACTCTAAAACAACAATATCTACCTCACAGGGATATTGGACGATTGAATAATGTAATGTGCACATTTGAGGGGTTTCAAATAAATATTCATTTGTTTTCTTATAGTTTGGAAAACAGTTGATTAAGTTGCAGAGGATCTGGCTATTAAGACCCTCATTTCTAGAAGTACCTAGTCTAAAAGCATGAAAAAAAGAAAAAGTAAGCTTAACATTCAATAGTACTTTAAATTTGTTTTTGTTTTGAGATGGGATCTTGCTATGTTGCCCAGGCTGGTATGGAACTCCTGATTCTCCTGCCTCAACTTCCTGAGTGCTGGGACTAGTTGTGAGCTATCATGTCCGGCTTTAAATGTTTTATTAACCCTTATTCTCCGGGAGCACCTGGGGACAACTTCAGCCTCCACCTATTTTTACCTAACTTTCAATTCTGTGTCTATTCCTTCTTCCTCCTTTCTTGAAATATCCCATTGCACTTAGCCTAGAAGCCTCAGATAAGGGTCCAGCTCACCCTGCACTGGAGCAGACTACGATATCAATGTGACATGTAATGTGCCACTGTCACCAGTAATAATCTATGTGTTTCTAAGGGCTGCCTCCAGGAAACCAGATGCATGCAAAACCCCTTACCAAAGAGCAAGCCCTGAATCCAGGGTTGACAGTGGCAGTAGAGCAGGCCCCTTCACGTCATTTTCCTGAGAGGATCGATCATTGGCTCAGAACACCTTTGCCCCCTTCCCTGAATGCTAAGCTCAAGGCTGCTTGAAGGAGCTGTTCCCTAAGCAGGAAGGTGTGCAGAAGTAAATATCGTGAGATAATCCCAAAGTCAGTCTCAAAATGGTGTCGTCTACCAGGAGCTGATTCATGGCCAGGGAGGTGGAAAATCGTTTGACTCAGGGCTGTTGTCTTCCCATCTTCTGGTGGGTGGACGGAAGGATTATGTGCAGCTAGAAACTTTTCACTCTTGCAGAAGGATCCAGTCCAGACTACTTCCTCCCCTCTGGGAAATGAGCTTTGCCTCGTTAAGAATGCCCCTTCCATTTCCTGTTCCTGGGGCTGCCTGATGAGCTTCATCTCTTCTTTTGGGCATAAGCATGAAGAAAGACATCCTATTCTTGGACTAGGGGTACAGCTCAGTGGTAGAATGTTTGCCTAGCATGTGTGAGGCCTGGGTTTCATCCCCAGTACTGAAAACAAAAAGAAAGATATTCTATTCTTGAAAATATTTTCATCTTTGGCCAAATCTTTTTGTCCCACTTCCTTAGAAAGTTTAGGCAACTGCAGTCACCACACTGCTATTCAGTGGCTTGGTATTGCTTGCTCTTCCAGAGCAGGTGACATTCTCATACCTGTTGGACAGAGGTGGACTTGGTGCCAGGACCTAAGTTCACCTATCACAATCATGTAACATGGTGGGATGATATCATGTGACATTGGAATGGGGAATTCAACCAACCACCAACCCAGCAATGAGAGTGGCTGGTATTTCCTGTTTATTTATCTTTTTTTTAGGCTAAGTATTTGCTTCTTAGTCTCAAATTCAAAAGCTGTTTACCTAGCACAATTTTAGATATCCAGAAACAATCCACCAAATAGATGCCTCCACTACAGTCTAGGGCTTCATTAGATTAATTAATTAATAATGGTTAATAAGTATTTTGAAGTTCTTTTATTAAAGGGGGCCACTAAACCTAAAGTACTATTATGATCAGGCCTAATTAGACCAATGGTTTAAAGAGAGGGTCTTAAACCACATATAAAGCTTCTCTACCAACTCTTGGTACAGAGAAGGTAAGAAGAGGCAGGTGAGTCTTCATGCTGTGTTTAAAAGCTTCCTTCCCAGTGGAGCCACACTGAGGTCTGCTCAGCTGAAGCCAGAGGCACAGTGAACTACTGACTAATGGATTCTCCAATTGTTAAACCCGTGTTATAGGACAAAGAGCATTGCTCCGCAAAATCTTGACCTACAGGTTGCTGCTACCAAAGACCTTCTCAAAGAGAGGGAGGTTTTCTCTTGGAGGTTGCAAACCAGGTAAAGCTGGCTTTCTCTTATCTTGTAAAACTTGCCTTTGGAATGAAATCAAGAAAAGGGACTATTTGTGAAAAATCAGCACAACAACTTTCTTTTAAGTGTGTGAGGGGTGACGTAGAAGATGTGTATAGGCTTGTATCCATATGAAACTGGATTCAAATGAACTAGGAAAGAGTATAAACCAATGAACCATCTATTGAGGCTGTCAGAATGCTATCTTGGAAATGGAAAATGGATACTGAATTAGAAATGACTCCAGGCTCTTTTTTTTTTTTTTTTAAATCAGAGCAACTTCTTTTAAGACATCTTTACATTTTAAAACTAATCAGTTTCTATTTCAAATCAGAACAGGTCCTGGAGGATAAGGATAAGGATATGCTACCCTCTGTTGTGTTTTTGGGACTTACAGTCCTCATTGGTAAGTCATGGATTGACATTTATCTGGGTTTGCATGGTGTCCATGAAAACCTCAAATATAGTCATAAACCAGAAAGAGCAATGCTTATATGTAATAGTAGAGTGAGCTCACCTGGCCTCCTTGGCCATCAATCAGATGCTTGTTTCCATAATTAGGAGTGTATTTTTCTTGCCAAGCAGGTGAAGAAGGTATCAGTAGGAATTTAAAATTTAAATATTGATCAATCTACTTACTTCCTGCCTGATGGTACACCTACTAGGCTTGAAATCTTATTAGCTGTATACAACAGTGCCTTTGAAGGCAAGATATATGAAGGGAAAATTATCAATGCCAGGCAATGGAGAGAGAGAGAGAAATCCACCATCTGAGAGGAAATTGGGAGGAAGGTCCCTCAGCTAGGAAGTTCAGACCTGAAAGGCAAGTTCCAGAGAGGGCATGGCCGTTGAAGCAGGCTTGGTGGTTTAATGTTAAAGGAAGAGCCTGCTGGATGGGAGTTCAGTAAAGGGCAGAGGAAGAAATGCATAAAAACTGTTGGGCATACAGTAAGCAGGTCAGTGTGATCAAAACAGGGGATGTTTCTTGGGGGAAAGCTAGAAGGTAGGCTGATGAGATGGTAAGCGTCCTTGAATGAGAAAAGATCAAAACTTTAGCCTCAGAAAAATAAAGATCCATTGTAAGCAATGAACAAATTAACTTTATTTAAAGACTAATGATTAAGAAGAAAGCATTTCTAAAATGTTTAATTATAAATTCGGAAAGGCAGGACTACCCCCAACACAATAATTTCCAGTTACTGTTGATCAAAAATGGGCAGCATAGTTTTACATTTTTATTCATTTCTAATTGCCAAGTGGGAGCAAAGTTAAAAAGCCAGTGGATTAATTATGAACTACCATATTATCTGGATACAACTGAAAAGTGATTCTAATTTTAAAAGGGCCTTTTAAAAATGTCAGCACAAATAGTATAGCATCCATGGGGGGCCACCTAAACCCAAAGTACTATTATAATCAGGCTTAATTAGGCCAATGGTTTAAAGAGAGGGTCTTAAACCACATATAAATTGGTCATATTCGAATTCTCTTAATGCAGTGGTTCTCAAGCTTTATGCATAAAAGGCAAATGGGAATCTGGTTAAATTATAGATTCTTTGGCCTCAAACTTAACGATTCTGGCTCAGTTAATCTGGTACAAGGAGCCCATTTTGTTATAGTGTCAGAAAGCTGACTAATACATTCCCAATATCCTCACAGTCTCATAGAAAGAACTTGTCAAAATTTTGGTTTCTTGACAATCAAAGAGCTTAAAATGCCACCTTAGTTATGTTTTAATATGGCTCTCTCTTTGTTTGAGTGTGATTGAGGAACTTTTTTAAAAAATACTTTTTGTCAATGGACTTTATGTATTCATATGTGGGGCTGAGATTCAAACCCAATGTCTCACACATGCTAGGCAAGTGCTCTACCACTGAGCTACAACCCCAGCCTGATTAAGCATCTTTTTATGTTTAAGGACTGTTTTCAATTTTTGTCTATGAAATTTCTATATCTGCTGCTGATAATGTGATATTTAAACAGAGATCTAAAGATAGTCAGGCAGCAAATCATGTTGATACCTGGAGGAACAGCATTCTAGGCCAAAGGAAACTCCAGGGCAAGGGCTCCAGGCAGAAACCTGCCTCGTGTGTTGAAGGATAAGCACAGAGAAGAATGTGAGTGAGGGAAGGGAAGGAGAAGTTGGAAAAGGAATAGAGGGTCAGATCAGGTGGAGCGTGGAGGACACAATGAAGACTTGGCCATTCCTCTGAGGGACAACTGAGAGATCCCATACATGTCCCCAGGATCACCTGGCTCCTGGGTGGAGAACTGTTAGCCAGAGTAGAGCAGGGAGGTAGGTCAGGATGCTGTTGGAAAAATCCTGATGGGCAATGATGCTGGTTTGGACCATGGTGGTAGCAGAGGGGAAAAGAGGAGTCAACTTCTGGATAGATGTTTTCCATCTACAGTCTCACTTCCCACCTGCACACCTCAATTTTACATATGGTCTCTGTTTTGGGAATATGTCATTCATTAGCTCAAATATGTGGTTGTCCCTCTGTATCTGGGGGAGCTGGTTCTGGGACTCCTATGGAGTACCAAAATCTGAGGATGCTCAAGACCCTAATATAAAACAGTATAGTATTTGCATAGAACCTATGAACATTCTCCCTTGAACTTTAAACCATTTCTAAATGACTTATATCTAATGAAATGCAAATACTATGAAGTAGTTATATGGTATCAGAGGGTTTTTACATTTTTTATTTTATTTATTTATTTGTTTGGGCAGTACTGGGGATTGAACTCAAGGCCTAAGTGCTCTACCACTGAGTTACTTTTCCAGCCCTATTTCTGTGTTATTTGGGAAATAATGACGATAAAATTTTAAATGTACAGTACAGGTGCAATTTTTTCCCACAGCTGGATGAATCCCCAGATGCAGGGCCTGGGGATGAAGCAGCAGCTGTGTCTCCAATGTGCACTGTGAGCACCAGGCATTGCACTGGAGGCCTTGGAGGGGCCGATCTGACAGCCTCTCCTCTGTGGATCACATGGAAATCCACACTTCTTAGAGAGTGTAGTGGCTTTGCTGTTCCTACCACTTTTATTATCTGGATAGACTTCCTCAGTATCCTAAGATTATTTGAGAGTTTTGTCATCTAACTTTCTGGTCTATTCCCACTTCCTTGTTTGCCTGATGATGGATGGCAGTGAGCTGTACCTGGATTTTTATTTGTTTTGGTTGAGTTTTGCTTTTGCATGCTTTTAAAAAGTTCATCTTTATAGTTACTCTGTTTCCCTTATAAAATAAATATTATAACAGTTCTATTCATCGTATACTTAATTCTAAGAAAGTATACAATTTCTTTATACTGTTATGTTAATCAGAATTGTACCTGGTCAAATCCATCTCTCTATTAAAAAACACTGTTGATAATCCTAACAACTTGGGAGGCTGAGGCAGGAGGATTGAAAGTTAAAGGCCAGCATGGGCAATTTACTGAGACCCTGTCTCAAAATAAAAATTAAAAAATTATTGAGGATGTAGCTCAGTGATAAAGTGCCCCTGGGTTCAATCCCCAGTACTTTAAGCAAAACAACCCAACAACAACAAAAATTGTTTGTATAATTAAGTGATACAACATATATTTTTTTCCCTGAAGTGCTGGAGATAAAATCCAGGACCTCACACATGCTAGGCAAGTGCTTTACCACTGAGCTACACTCCTAGCCCCAATATAGTGTCTTATATCAAATATTTTAATGAAGTAGATTCTTATAGCAGAGAATTATAATCTTAAATTACAAAGCAACAATTTTTGGAATTATGAGAACGAACTTTTCAATATTACAGAAAATATCTCTTTTAATAAATAGACCTGAATGAAACCATTCATGCCATAATAACAGAGTAAAAAAAAAGAATTAGTTTATTTGGTAAGTTAAATTTTTATTTCTAATTCTTTTAAATAGATTCAGAACCTCATCTTCATACCAGTAAGACACAAAATATGTTTAACTTGTTATAGTATCTTTCTTTCTTATTTTTGTAAACAAAGACAAATTGTTCATTGAAATGTTTACATCCTCATAAATACCGTCAAAAGTGTTTAAAAATATTCCCCAAAGTTCCTGTTTGAAACTCTCATAGTTGCCTGGGGGTGTAGCTCAGTGGTAAAGAGCATGCTTAGTATATGGGAAGCCTGGATTTGATCTCCAGCACAGGAAAATAAAATTGATGGCTATTTTAATCTGGTCAAGCTGCAACAAATATATTTGAGACCCATACAATTTAATTTTCATAATACTTTGTGTGGTGTTTTAGAACTAAAGTACTGTAGTTAAAAACAGAGTCAAAAGGTTGGAGCAGAGTGGGAAGAGGGCACTTCTGTTTTGTCTGATGTGTTGAAAATGATAAACAGGACTTGAAGACTAAGTCTATGGCCTTTGCCTTTGGTTTAGCAGGGATTTGTGTTTTAATAGCAGCTCAAGCAACACCTTCTCACAGGTTTTTCATGCATTATCATTTTGCTTCCCAGGCACTTCCAGGGCTTCCTACCCGTTCACTCATTCCATGGACAGTCACCTGCATCCTCGCCTGTACCACGGCTGCTATGGGGACATTATGACCATGGAGGCTTCCGGGGCCCCCTGTGACATAGACAATTTGATTAACTGCGGTAAGTGAATGACAAAGCAAGCGTTTGGCCTTCTCCCTTTCATCATTTCCAGATTCCTTCTGGAAGTTAACTTAATTTCTAAAAGGTATCATTGTCATTATAACAATCATATCAAAAAATTTAAAGTTAAATAAGAATAGACTCCTGCCCAACCTAACAAACCTTTTCTACCTCACCACCCGACCTTTTCCAATCTTGTCCAGATGTGTGTATTTCTACATGTTGAGACTACTCCTTGAATTACACATTAGTTTTTCTGGCCTCATTTTCTTGTTAGGCTTACTGCACTTAAGCACATGAAGAATAAAGGTTTTTTGGTTTTGTTTGGTTTTTTTGGGGGGGTTGCTTTTTTTAAAGAGACAAGGTCTTGCTATATTCCCCAAGCTGGTCTTGAACTCCTGGGCTCAGGAGATTCTCCTGCCTGAACCTTGCAAGTAGCTGGGACTAGGGCCCATGACCGCACCCAGCTTATAATGAGCATTTTGAAGCAAGGCTCTTGCTCTTTGTACTTCCTTCCCTTTGTAATCCTGTTTCAAAATCTCCCTTGTGATGTTATCCCAGTATTAGAGGTTTAGATATGGAAGGAACTACAAGATGGCTTGGAATCCCTCATCTTTAATTTACAGATCCCAGTGCTGAGGTCAGTAAGGAGGAGGGACTTCCCCTAGCACACACTAGGTGGTGGGGTAGCTGAACAAGATTCAGTCTAGACTGGCCAACTGCTAGACCAGGCATCTTCTCAAGGCACCCACATGGCTGAAAGGAGAAAGAGAAACAGCAGAAGTGGCCCCTGTCAGGGGCTGTGGATATGTCAGGGTTTTTGCCGTCCAGTGTCAAAAGGACATCATAGAAATGGTTGTTCCCAGCTGTGGGCAGCACAGGGGCTGTGGCTAAATTAGTATGCATTGGGAACAGTCTGCTTCTGGAGCAAACACTTTCTTTTCTATTGGTTTAGGGATCCGTGGCTCTGAAATGTTTGCTGAGATGGACTTGAAGGCCATAAAGCCTTATCAGACGCTGATCAAGGAAGTGGGGCAGAGGTACTGCATTGACCCTGCTATCATCGCAGCCATCATCTCCCGAGAAAGCCACGGTGGCACTGTTCTGCAAAAAGGCTGGGACCACCGGGGACTTAAATTTGGCCTGATGCAGGTATTTAGCTGGAGACTTTCCACCAGCCTCTTGGTCCTTCCTTGCAGAAGCTCAACCCAACTGAAATCCCTTTGCATGCTTCTGGGCCCCCAGGCTCTGCAGTGTTTCTCCACAAGTGCTTCAGCGTGGCTTGCTCTGACTTTCTGTAACACATCTTTGGTATTTCATCCAAGGGTTATTATCAGTTATTCAATATTTTTTTGAATAAGAAAATTAATTCAGTAGTATTTTATATGTATCATAACTACAATTCCGCAGTAAATAATATACAATCTACTTCAATCGTGAAAGGGCACTCATTATTACAGGTGTCTTCTTGGAATTCTTAAATTTTTAAATTTCATCCATGAAAATAAAAACACTATATAATTACTTGAACCAACATTTTCTTCCAGGTAAATTGGAGGAAGGGGATTCAAATTATCAGCCTATCTGAGTTGAAGCTGTATTTTATTTATTTTTCCCTCATGATATTGGGGTTTGAAACCAGGGTCTCATGCATGCTAGGCAAGCTCTCTACAACTGAGCTATATCCTCAGTCCTTTGGCTCTTAATGAATGATTGAATTAACTACTGAATTAATTTTGCAGCCCTGGGAATTAATTTGTAGCCCCAGGGCTGCAAAATTAATTTAGTAGTTAATTAACCTCAAGGTGCTCTACCACTAAGCTACATTTCCAGCCCTTTTTATGTTTTTATTTTGAGACAGGATCCTGCTACATTGCTTAGGACCTCACTAAGTTGCTGAGCCTGGCCTCAAACTTGCAATTCTCCTGCCTCAGCCTCCCAAGTCACTGGAATCACAGGTGTATATCACTGGGCCTGGCCTTTCAGGCTCTGTTTTAAATTGTTTGTAGAAACACAGATTTCTAGACTTCCCAGTTAGAAACAAATTTTTATTCGAATTAGATGGATTTTTTTTAACTACAAATGTCTAGACTTTGGTGCCAACCTTTTTTTGTTGTTGTTTTAACATTTTTTTGTCCCCCTTCTCCTCTCTTTGTTTATCAGAGTGCCTAGCTAACACTGTGCATGTCTGCTTCTCCCAAATCTTTATTTTTCTGACTCTTTTCCTTATGAAAGACAATATAGTAGAATTGACTTTGGGGGGAAAGATGTCACAGGAAAGATGTCAAGGCCAGCATCTATGAATTTTAACACACGGAAGAGAAATTAGGATCAGCAGAATATTGTATTTCCTTGACCAAATGCTGATATTCTTATCTGAATTTTCTAGCTCGATAAACAAATCCACCACCCTGTTGGTTCCTGGGACAGCAAAGAGCACCTTTTGCAAGGTGCTGGTATTCTAACAGACAGAATTAAAGCCATCCAGAGAAAATTCCCCAAGTGGAGTGCTGCTCAACACCTGCAAGGTAGGCAATATTTTTCGTGCTTTGTTGAAATGAGCAGTGGATGAGACTATGAGATGTCAGATGGGCCCTGAACCTCCCTAAGAGCACTCCCACTGGGTCAGCAGGGGGCTGGGAGGAGCTGTGGAAGAGATGCAGTACATTCTCTGAACCACGAGTGGTCCACCTTCACCAATTTCCTTTATCCTTCTTCAGGATATCCGGGTTCTTACTGCATCTCTTGTTTTATATTGAGCCACTGAGTGATGCCTTGAGAGTTAATGCAAAAGTTAACACAAAAGAATGCCTTTACCTTCTTTTCCTTGGCTTTCTCCTGATGCAAGAAGTTATTAGTCATTTTCCAAATTGCTTGAATAAACTGACTCTGAGCATTCTGAGGCTTTAGGTACCCTGATAAGTCCACACAGTCATCTCAGGCATGGCTCAACAGAGGCCCACCTTGAGTACAGCATCTCGCAGATGGACTTCACTACTCTCCTGTTTCTTCTGCATTTTCTGTGACTTTGGAGATACCATAATACAGCCAGACATCCCAGCTAGAAAGACAGATTGTTTTCTTAGCTCACTGGCTTCTTCTTTCTTCACACCTGGTCCACCAATTCCTGTTTCCCTCCTGCAGATGCAGAGTTATGTGTAAATCTTCTTTCCTTCTACACTTTGTCTGAATTCAGAACAACTTTCTATTTTCTCTTTCAAGGGCATTGAAAGAAGAAATCAGGATCAGGATTTTTTTTCTCTTGACACCAGAGCACAGCACAATTATGTTAAGATACATAAGTAACTGTTGAAGATAAAATTCTAGGGTAAAATAGCACATGCAAGTTCATGAACCTGTACAAGAAATGAATACAGGTAACTTTCACTCAGTGTGGCACATCAAGTGTGCTCAAAAACATGTACTGAATTACTTGGGAGGCTGAGGCAGGAGGATCACAAGTTCAAAGACAGCCTCAGCAACTTATCAAGGCCCTAAGCAACTTATTGAGGCCCTGTCTCTAAATAAAAAATATAAAGGGCTGGGGATGTGGCTCAGTGATTAAGTGCCTGTGGGTTCAATCCCCAGTACCAAAACAAACAAACAAACATGTGCTGAATGAATGAATGAGTGGGTGAACATATGAGTGAATTATTGAATAAATGAGAGATTGTTACAATCTCAAACTGAAGATTTGCAGTCATCTATTTCTGCCAGCTCAGGACTACATAAAACTCAAATCTGACTCACATAGGAAGAAAAACAACAATAATAAAGAGAGAGAGAGAGAGAGAGAGAGAATCTTCTTAGTGATTCTCAGGGTAGCATATCCTTTCAGGAAGAGAGGAAGGGAAGCAAGCGTTGGGAATACAGGCATACAGGCTTTGGAAGATTTGCCTGGAGGGCTGGGATGTCCTGGAAATGCTTGCATCTTATTTCTGTTACAGTTATTATAGAGTCTAAACCTCTCTCTTTCATTTCAGGTGGTCTCTCTGCCTTTAAGTCGGGAATCGAAACCATTGTCACCCCTGCAGACATAGACACTGACCTCGTCAATGATCTTCTTGTCCGAGCTAAATTCTATAGAAGACATGGCTTCTAGGCAAAGCCCTATAAATGAACCATGTTGCTTGGGTATCAAATGCTCCCTCTTTAAGTTTGATATGAATGTGTTGTACTTCACCCTGACACAACATGGTTGAAATTATGAAAGAAAATTTATTTCTGAATTTCTTAATGACAGTAAGGATTAAAAGAAGAAGAATGAGAGGGCTGGAGATGTAGTTCAGTGATAGAGCCCTTGCCTAATATACACAAGGCTCTGGATTCAACCCCAGCGCCACATGCACACACACAAATAATAAGTAAAGACAAAAGAAAATTACCCAGTTCACAATATAGCTCCCATGAAATGTACATAGACATACATACAATTGCTTTGCAGCCAACGTGAATATTATGGCATTGACATCTACACATTCTAACAAGACTTCATTTTAGCCCATGACTTCAATACCCACCTGTACTCCATCTACCAGAATTACTAACAGGAAGTTAAGTGAGCCTGACCTGAGCCTTTGTCCTTTTCTCAACATCTTCCCAAATTGCAAGGGCTTTGCTCATGAGAAGCTCCTAGTTCATAAGCCAGGCAACCCATGTGACAATGGAGAAGCCGGGGAGAGAATTCTAGCTCCATAAGTAGCTGAGAGCTGGTGGAGGTGATGCTGACCTTCAAGCGATGTGTGTATATCCTTCAGGCCCACACCAACTCCTGTGTTTCCTTCTCTTGTTTGCTGAAGGTCCATGGACTGGCTTCTTCTATATTCAGTCATTGTCACAAACTCTTTCTAAGGGGTCTGTTGCCTACAAAAGAAGGTTGAAGATAAAAGCATTTGGCACTGGCATTAATTTGGTCCCGTGGATGCAAAACAGAAAGCAATTTTTTATTGCTTAAAAAGTTCTGAAATTTTTTAAGCAATAAAAGGAAATTACTAGAAGGCTATCTGATGACTCCCAGAACTAAAACAGAGAGAGGGGTGGTGGGAGGAACTGGAGAGCAATCGGTTAAGCATACTTTATAGCATCCCACCAGGTGAAACCACCAGCACCCTCACTGCACAGATGAACTCCAAAGACGCCCCCCACCATCCTTTCAGCTCTCTGCTCTGTATTCAAGGCCCCATGGGTGTGGTGTGGGGATGGGATGTGGATTCTTTCAGTTGAGCACCTGTCTTTTGGCTGCTTTGCTCTTTGGTCTTGCCCAGACTACCTATGATGGAGAGGAGACAATTCTCTGGAAGGAAATTGAATCACCTTGGTGATGTTTACTTGCATGTCGGGAGAGGACACCATAATATGTGGGAGTGTAAAGCTCACAGAGTCCCTCCAGTGGCCGCTGCTGGACTGGTAGCTCCATCTGGAGAAGTTCAATGGATAGTTCTGCTTGTCCAATCTCTTTCTGAGAAGAAGTCCTACCTGTGAGCCATACAGAGAAAGCCAACTAAACCGTTTTCTGCCCAATGACCTCTTAACCTAGCTGGTTGACTCAGACAGAACCAGGAATCCCTGTTTTAAAGGGAAGAACCAATAGTTGACTGGGGTGACTGGGGTGGCAACCTGCAGCATAATTGTCTTTGGTTAAGGATGGTTAGTTGAAGCCCAGACTACATCAGTTGTTAAATATTTTGATTCTCATCCCTGTATATGAACAATCCACAATGTTCTTCAGAAGTCTCTTTTGCTCAATAATGATTTCTTCTGGGCTTTACCCAGAAACATTCATTTCATCTAATCCCCAGCCCCTTTAATGTCACTACTACACGTATAAAATACATTTAGACAAGATAATTTGAAAAATAAGAATTAGTACACTGTCGGGTATGATGGTGTATGCCTTTAATCCCAGCGGCTCACTAGGCTGAGGCAGGATGATTGTAAGTTCAAAGCCAGCCTCAGCAACTTATAGAAGACCTGTCTCTAAATATAAAAAGGGCTGGGGATGTGGCTCAGTGATTAAGTGCTTCTGAGTTCAAACACCAATATCCAACCCCCCAAAAAAGAATTAATATACTGGCTTATACCATGAATTTATTCCCCCAGTATTCTCTTTAGGACTGAGTTGCACAGACTCCATACTTGAGTTGTCTTAGGTCTTAATTGGGTTCCCCCAGAAGCAAACTGAACAAAGATTTCAGTGCAGTAGTTTATTTTGGAGGTGCAGGGATCACTGGTATGAAGAGGCTCAGTGATCCAGTGAAGGGAAGACCAGCAATAAAACAAGCATCATTGAGTTACCTACCATGGTGGGCTCCAGGGCCCGATCCTGCAAGAAAGCCACTATTGGGGAATAGGACAAAACACACACCTCAAAAATACTCTATCCAAGGGACAGGAGCCAGAGTATAGAGACATTGGTTTCTGAGAGTCATTTGTTGAGGGTCTATCTCGTAGGATGGAATGAGGGAGGATTCTTAGCTACTGTGATCTGCTAGGAAATTTTTCTTGTATTTCCAAGGAGAAGAGGCTGTAGTCACAGAGAAGCAAACCAACTGAGAATTCTGAGAGGTCCAGGGGTATGAGAGGGACCTGACAGCCTCTGCTTCCCAAGGGTTAGGCACTCCCCAAGGCTAAGAAGTCTCCATTCCTCCAACATGGCTTGTTTTCATCTGTGACTTAATAGCTTGGTACAAACAATACGGAAATGATTCACAAGCTTCATTTGCCTTACAATTTCCATGCCAGTATTCCACACAGTGTATAGAATGATTAGTTAGATGGGATAGAACTGTCATAGTCTTTACCATATACCCATCTCTAGCACATCAGCTGATTCTCAGGAATTTGCTGAGGAAAATGTCAAAGATGTCAGACTCAAATGTGGTTTTATTAAATTGTCATTCTTGATTTTCTTTATATTTTTTGCCTTTGTCCCCTTCAGGGATAAGGGATCGTTTCATGTCTATGTCCTATGATATAAAATATTACTTCATCTAAAAACTGAAGTCATACTGAAAGATATAGAAATATTGTTTTATAAGTAGTTTTAGATGCAAAAAAAAAATTTTTTTTAAATATTTCCCTATCTGGACTTACTCATGATTACCTTCTCATTCTTTCTTTCTCTTGGCCTTCCATGTCTCATATGCTCTAGGACCTGTGACACCATAGGAAATATGTGCCAGGCACAGTGACACATACCTGTAACCCCAGATACTTGGGAGACTGAGACAGAAGGATTGCAAGTTTGAGGTCAGCCTAGGCAATTTAGGGAGACCCTGTCTCAAAATAAAATTTAATAAGGGCTGGGGTTGTAGCTCAGTGGTAGAATACTTGCCTAATATGGGCCAACACACACACACACACACACACACACACACACACACAATCCCCAGTACCACAGAAAGAGAGAGTGATGGAGAAAGAGAGGGGAAGAAAAAGAAGGAAGTTAGTTTGATATTTGGTCTCTGCTGCATTGTATGTGGGAAGTGAGGGGAAAATGTCTCAGTAATGTTCTCATTGTTGATGTCTAAGGTCCCGTGCAGTATGGATACATTCCATTTTATAACATTAGGTAGGAGAAATATCCTCTAGTCAGATACAATGTCCATCCCCATGGTACCATCAGGTAAAAGAGACACAACCATTCCACATAAAGACTGGTCAAATATACCAATTCTCCCCACACATTTTTACTTAATCCCATCACCTCCTGTGTTCCTAACTGCAGCCCCCATTACAACTCTATTGGCAGGCTTAGGTTTTACAATACTGGATGGGGAAGGGTGTGCCAAGTAGACACAGTGTCTATCCTAAAACATGCAGGTAAAACACAACTCCTCTGCCCAAAGCCTTCCAAAATCCCATCAACTCTTTTGTGCTCTCTCACGGCAGGGTTTCATGGATGGGTTTTGGTTCCACAGTGCTTGGGGCTCCCATATTAAAGAGTCCTGGGACTTCTCCTCTGCACCCCCTGACCATTTTTCCACTTCAGCACACAAGGCTTTGGATTCCCATGAGGGGCTGGGCCAAGGGACTCTAGTCCTTTTGTCAACCCACACCTTGATTAACCTGCCTAACTACTGCCCCAGAGAGCTAGTCAGGTTTCTCACTGTCAACTTTGCCTTTTAAGGTTTCTCCAAGCTGGGGTGAGTAGAGCTGCTACAGTTTGGATCTGGAATGTTCCCTGAGGGCTCATGTGCTCAAGACTTAGTCCTTGTTTGGCAGTTTGGGGAGGTGGTGGAGCCTTTAAGAGATGGAGCCTCATAGGAAGTCTTTGTCATTGGGGGCATGCCCAAGAGGGATATTGGGACCCAGCCTCTTCATCTTCCTCTCTGTCTGTTCTGGGTGCTATGAGGTGAGCATCTTTGCTCCATCATTATGGGCTGCCCCTCTACAGGCCCAAAAGCAATGGGCCAACTGACCACAGAAGGAAGCCTCCAGAACTGTGAGCCAAAATAAATCTTTTATCTCTGTGTTGATTTATCTCAGGTATTTGTTACAGTAAGGGAAATCTGATGAATGAAAAGCAGACTTTGTTGAGGGATCAGCTGGTGTCCTTTAGTCTCATACAGCCTTTAGTATTTCTTTATTAAAACCTTTCTTTTAACCCCATCAATGTCTGTTTTTTTACTCATTCCATTTTTTCATGATCATCTAAAAGTTTCCACACTGCAGATGCAAATCTGGAGATGTGCCTTTTTTATTTTCCTTTGTTTCACACCTGTCAATATTTGCTTTATCTTCCTTATTTCTTAACAATTTCCACCCTGTTAAAACCTGCCCTTTGACTCTCCTCTTATTTTTTCCCCCATTCTCATCTCAATTCACCTAATCTATCTGTATTATAAGACCCCCAAAGGGAAGCTGAGATAGCAAATTCAATAAAGCTTTCCAAACTGTACTTTGGGTTTGCAGCAGCAAGGCTACATGCCCATCCATGTTTCAAGGGGTAGTGTCAGCCACAGAATCTTCCCTGACCTGAGTAACAGGCATATTCAGGGGATGAACATCCTGGTGATTGGAAAACCAGTTCCACATGAACAGCTCCATCCAGGGTGATCCACTTGTCATTTAGAGAAGGAGAGGGACAGTTCCCTTCTCAAG